CGCGGTGGGCCTGTTGAGGGACACCCGATATTAATAAAACGACGAGAGAGCGCCGCTCGCACTTCAAGCGTCAGGAGAGTGCAGACACATAGCAAATTGGCCACGCCTCCTCACCAAGCATTCGTTGTGGGACCTTGCAGAGAAATTTGATTTGCGTCGCTCGCGCTCGCTCACAGAGTGCTCGCTGCTCCGCTTTTGTTCACGTTTCTTTTTTTTATTTTTCGACATTGATTGTTCTGTCTTTTGTTATCGGCAGATCACGCCTCGGTTCAAAGCATCACGCCATAAGTGGTTGATACGAGGCGTTCAGTCGTGAGAACTTGTAGGATAAGGGTTCTTTCAAATCATTTCATGCCATATCGACTGTTTTCGAAAAAAAAACCCAGTTTGATTTCATCGATTGTGCTGTGATTAGAAGCACAACGAAGTGGCATCCGCCTTTCTTGTAACCTAGCTCGTTTGTTATAGGAAGAAAGCAGTTTTCTTCGCGCTTCAGCGAGCCACATCTTCCTACATTAAAACAAACTCCTCTTGTGATAGTCATACCCTTTGAAAATTCATGTTTAGGGTCAATTTCTCTTTACAGGGTCCGCCATAATTACGGTAACAAACTAGTATGATACAGAAAGTGTAGCTCCAAGTGTAGAACTATTAGACTGCAAGTGTTCGGTATCCACCGTACCAATGGAATTGCTGCAAGCAGTCAGTATGGTGGTTTACGGACTACTTGATTTTTCCTCAATGGTCCTGCCGCGATGGCTAGAGCACAGACGATTAGAGAACGGGTGAATGCCCTAGGACTAAGCCTTGGAGAAGGAGAGGGACCCGCGAGAGAGCGCAGAGGCGGTTAAAGGGCTGAGTTCAAGTAGACCGTCGACTTCAGTTGCCTCCTCTAGGAACTACCAGCAATATGTGGGATGTGGCTGTCCGGTGGCTCAGCGACTTGGCAGTTATGCCGAAAGAACTGTGTAAGTATTGACTGAATGGTTGCTACGTACAGCATCGGCGAATGGTAGTAGGCCGGTCTCTCAGCGGAATCGCTGAATCGCTCAAGCCCATAATCACCGAATTTTAGATCGACACTATGCTTCCGGGTGTGGTTCACTAGGACAGAAGGCGGGCTTTCGCGTTTAGCAGCGCGCAACATTTTCCGCTGCGGGAACCTCAGGTCCACCGCTGATCATCAGTGACCCCGAAGTTCTCGCAGCGAACAAAGTTTCGCGCGCGCTGCGAAACGCGAAAAAGTCGCTTTCTGTCCTAGTGAACCACACTCAATGCATCCTTGTCAGCGTAATCGCCAAATCGCACAGTTGCTATGAACCAATACTTGCAGCATTCGAAACTTCGGTTACGCCGCGACGGCGACATGCAAAGATTATTGATGAACTTCGACCTTAAAGTTGTTCGGTGATTTCTTAATTTGTAGTCGGTTCTGGAACGAAGTCCGTTAGGTTGTCATCGCAAAGCAAATGATCACGTTACCTCAAGAGCTTCGTTTATTCTCGTGCTGGCTGCCTACATAAAAGTCTCGAATTTCCTTGCGCGTTTTTCTTTCTACGCAAATTTTCTCGCCAGTGAAAAGTGTATCGTGCTTCGTGCCGCCGTTGAAACGTACTCAAATATCTGCAAACTGTAATTCATAAGGAGGCAAGTACTGTACCTACTGATCTTGCTGCTATGCTGTTCTTACAATGTATAGTGAAGAATTGCAGTGTGTCGTTACGTTGCAATCCTTGTTGCAGTTCTGATACCAATAAACGCTTATTACGATATATATGGTAATTTGATCATGGCGTGGCGACATCAACATTGACTTTGTTTTCTACATTGTTGTTAAAAATTGTGTCTTCTAGATGGTTGAGAAAAAAGAAGAGGAAAAGAGGCGCCGTTCTCGCTCGGCGTCATCCAGTAGCAGCTCTTCTTCTGGAAGCTCTTCCAGCAGGTAGTAGTTATTGCTTTGTTTTCTTTCGGGATACCGAACTATTTGATTTCAGTGGTTCATCGGGATCTTCTCGCTCTTCAAGCAGTTCGAGCTCTTCTCGTTCTCCATCACCACGAAGCAAAAGGGAGGCTGGAAAGGTCTGTTATGTAAAAGTTGTTCAACCAGATGTGTGAATAGTGTTACCGCCACTGTTTTACCAGTCCGATAAATTTCAGGCGACAACAGTACGTGCTCGTTCCCGTTCGCCGCGTAGGTCACCTGCTAGGGCAAGAGCTGACAGAGGAGCAGGTACAATTTTTCTTCGGAGGGCATTATTCGAAGTCACTCATAAAATTACAGACTTGATAACCAAGTGTTTTTTGTGCTATTTGGTTGTGATTGTCTTGAAGTATGTGGATCATGAGTTGTTTGCGCGATTTGCTTAAAATTTATTTACAGGTGATCGCCCTAGCCGGCGTTCTCCTTCCCCTCGTCGCCGTCGCGTTTCGACCTCGCCGAAACGCCGCGATCGTAGCAGCAGCCGTGGTCGCCGTCGCTCTCCTCGTCGTTCTTCGCCGCGTCGCACATCTCCTCGCAGGTCTCCAAAGAGGTATATTGCTATCAGTTTGCTAGCGAAACATTCTTCAATATTTTCTTTTTAAGGTCCCCCCGCCGCACTTCTCCGCGAAAGGCCAGTCCTTCTAAACGAATTTCAGTCAGAAACCTAAGCAGAAATGTCACTAAGGTATTTATATACATTCTTTATTGCTGTGTTCGTTAGATCATCTGACACAGCCCAGTCAGAAAGCACTTGTTTCAAATGAATTTCGTTATCGTGAACATGTCTAGGAGCACTTGGCTGAAATCTTTGGAATGTATGGACTCATAAAAAGTTGCGACCTTCCACCTGAAAGGTTCTATTCTCATCTTCACCGAGGTTATGGATACGTGGAATACGAAAACGCTGAGGATGCTGAGAAGGTTGTTGCTTACTTGTAACACAATATGTGACCATTACGACTTTCCCATTGGTGTACCGTGGGTTACCGGTTTTCACATTGTAAAAGCTTGTACAGCTTTCGCATTTTTTTTTCGCTAGCTATGCTGAAACAGCTTCTTTTGGTCTTATTTCAATGTTACAACCTTGCCGTGTAGATCGAAATCCCTAGATCCAGGGAACAACTTTTAGCGATAGGACCCAATTAGTGGTCAATTACTCCTGACTAAATGTGTTTGAATGTCTGATTATATAGGTGGAATTTGATTACTTTCTAAAAGAACTTTTACCAATCTAATAGGGAAGGGGACTGCTCGCAATTTACAATGGCTTTCGCCATATTTTTCCTTCAGATTTGAAGGTAACCATATGTTGCGTTTTCTGAGTCATTTTGCCATATATTCGGCTGGATTTGTCAAGAAACTGAAAGGAATTCCAAACCTGTAGCCTTTTAAATATTTTCACTCTTCAGAACAGTCTTTGTCCTATTGAAATCTCAGATGTGTTCCCATTACAGGCTCTAAAATACTTTGACGGAGGACAAATTGATGGACAGGTGGTCAGCGTTGAACTAACGCTCAATCGCACCGCCTCTCGTCGCTCACCAGCTCGTAAAAGTCCTGTCAGAAGAAGGTATACTGACTCTGTTTGTTGTTGAATCCATTTTTGTAAAAAAAAAATGTGTTTTCAGTCCTCCAAGAAGACGTTCACCGGTCGGACGAGATCGTGGCAGTGGAAATAATGCAAATATGATTCCTCTCGGCTCGAGTCGTTTCAATCGCAGCCGTTCGCGGTCACCGCGCAGAAGGCGCAGCAGATCATAAGCAGGTGAGTCAGCTAAACGCAATATTTACCGTTCATGAATTTCTTGCTTTCATTCATTACTCTTTTGAAGGTGGGTCTACAGTGTGTGACTTGTTAAAATGACTTATTTTCCCGTCAGTGATAGTATAGTTCGCTTCGTAAAAGCAAAAAGCCTGGTAGGTAGATATGAATATGAGCTGCTCTCAACGCATTGTATTGTCTGTATTGTTTGTACTGTTTTGTCGCTAGTATTCTGTAGCTGCTTTCTTATGACAACAATTCAAACGAAATTGGTAATCTCTGAGTTTCCTTCTCCAATAACTACTGCTTACATTGTGGAATAATTCCTATCTACTGGCGCTCATATTCGTGATTTCAGTTACGCTTTCTAATGCTACTCATTTCTTTCTCACACTTTGAGCACCATGTGGAACCATGTGCAGCGCATGCGCTTCACACGCAAGCAGTATATTTTTTCACCATACGCTATACCTTTTGTAGTTTTTTTTTTACATTATTCTGTAGACCACATCATAACGTGACCATAAACGGTGTGGTTGGCTGGTTATTTATTCTGCACTTTAGTGAAGATTTCCCAACCCATTAAGTTCTTCACTGTAGTTCATCCCTGGTTTCCTTTATTTTCTCTTAAACGTGATTAAAAAATGAGTAGTAAAAGTTAGTACAGACCTATACATATAGCAAGATGTAAGTTTTTAGTGGACAGCAACCGCGTCAAAAATAATTTTGAGGTTCACTACAGCAAAAGCAACTAAAACTTGCCTTTTCATTGCCAGAAAACGTCAATTTC